CCAGTATACCGCTCGATAAGCACTAGCAAAAGGAAAAGCATAGCCCGGCCGGTGGGGCTCAGGGGTTGAGCGCCGACCTATGAACCAGGAGGTCACGGTTCGATTCCTGGTCAGGGCACGGACCCGGGTTGTGGCTCGATCCCCAGTGTGGGGTGTGGAGGAGGCAGCTGATTCATGATTTTCTCTCATCATTGATGTCTCTCTCTCTCTCTCCTTCTCCCTTCCTCTCTGACATCAATTATAAAAATAAATAAATAAATAAAAGTAGAAGCAGCACCAACAACTGTGGCAGCTGAGGTGCAGCTCTCCTGGGAAGGGTGCGTGGAGGGTGGAAAGGGGGTGCGTGGCCGTGCTCAGCTCTGTGGGCAGCGCCGCCCCTCCAGCACTCGCCATGCTGCTTCCCCGTGGAGGCCCACCACCTCGGGGAGCAGCGCAGAACGTCCCTCTCTTTGAAGTGAGAAGACTGTCCCTGTATTTGTCTGTCCTGTTCATTTCAATCTCACTTTGTTCTCCAAAGCAAGAACCCTTAGACCAGCGGTTCTCAACCTGTGGGTCGCGACCCCTTCGGGGGTCGAACGACCCTTTCACAGCGGTCGCCTAAGACCATCGGAAAACACATATATAATCACATATTGTTTTTGTGATTAATCACTAGGCTTTAATTATGTTCAGTTTGTAACAATGAAATTGGGGGTCACCACAACATGAGGAACTGTATTAAAGGGTCGCGGCATTAGGAAGGTTGAGAACCACTGCCTGAGACCAAGTGCGTCAAACTCAAGGCTAACACGGGCCAAACAAACGAGGCGTGCGGCCGAGGGCTGCGAGTTTGACATGCTTGCCTTAGACGCTCCTGCTGTCAAATCTCTGTCATCTGCCCAGCTAACACCAGCTCCCCTGCCTGCCTCTCCGACGGGGCCGGGAGGATCCTGGATTTCCTGCCCTGTCACAGCTGAAACTCTCCACCCTGAATATTTCAACTCTGTTATCGGTCTTCCTAGATGTTGAAGAGGAAACAGGAAGAATCTGAAAGCAATTCACAAGAGCTCAAGTGTGTAAGATGCTCCTCCCTCGGTGTGAAGACACTTCGCCCACGCCCTCTCCTTCTTCCTTCTGTCCTGTCGCTCCAAGTCCCCGGGTACCACAAGCCATTTGGGCGATGGCGTGACGTCCCAGGAGGACCCTGGGCTCCGCGTCCACCCTCACCCCCAGGCAGACCCTCAGTGTGGCCGCCGCTGCCCTTATTTTCTCCTCGGCTTCTGGCAGACACCCCCCCCTCAGCCTCCCCCCTCCTCCCTTCCCCCCGGAACTGTACCTTGAAGTCGGGGATGGCGAACTTGGTGTTGTACGACAGGTTGGACTTGGAAGTGACCGTGTTCAATCTCTCCAGCGCTTGTAAATTTTCCTTATCACCAGGGGCAGAAATTAACCAAAACTCGGACATGCTTCCAGTCTTCTCTTATCCAGTAACTGCCCGGAGCCACACACACAGAGAAACAGGACAAGTGTCAGCTGTCCCTCCTTCCTCACCACTCCCTTCCCTGGGAAGTAACCCTCTCCCTGGTTCCCATTCTCTGTGCCTTTGACCTTCAGCTCAGATCCCATAGCTCCAAGGACACCCATGGGTACAAGCTGATCTGCAATGTTCTCATCTCCGCCTGAAGTGCCCTCGGGTCCCCCCCAGGGTTCCCAAAGGGGCGCCTTCCCGAGGGGGTTCTGCCTGCTTTTCAGGGACAGCGTGCTTCCTTTTCCTCCGCTCTCCCCGTCCAGTGACAGACCCCACCCAGCGTCATAAACAGGGGGACAGTACACGGGGCGGGGGACCTTCTGGAATGGCATTTCCTCCTTCGCACCTTGCGTCTCTGGGGATGCAGGATGGGGTGGAGGCAGGAACGAGACCAGGCCACCTGGGCAAACCCCAGGTCGTCACTTGCCGAACCTGAGACGGGCACTGGCTTTAAAAATAGACCCAGGCCCTGGCGGCGGCTCCGTGGTTAGAGCATCGCCAGAGACACTCAGGTGGCAGGTCTCCCTTCAGGGCACATACAAGAGTCCTCGATGTTTCTCTCCCTTCCTTTCTCTCAAATCAATCAATACATGATTTTTAAAAATTTTAAATAGACTTCAGAAGGAAGTCTTTTGTTGAAATAAGAAAAAAAAAGCGGTGGGGCCAGGGGCTTCGAAAGTTGTTTCCCGAGACTCGCGGGCAGATTCTGTGCGGAGGCCCCCGAAGCCCATTAGTCCTGCTCATTCAAACGTGCACACGCCCACGCCGTCCTCCCTCGCTCCGTGCGCCCTTCCCGCCCCCCGGCGCCCCTGGGACCCATCTGGCAGCTCTTCCTTCCCACACCATCTCCCTGCGCTCAAGGTGCTCAAGGTAGGCTCAGCCGCTCCTGCCCGCGGACAGCACAGCTCCTCCCGGTCTGCGGCCTGGGGACACGCTGGCCCTGCGCGCCGCCCCGGAGGCCACCTGCCTGGCGCGGGGAGGGCGCAGCGGAGGCGCAGGCTCGGTTCCCACGGAGGAAGCTCTGAACAGGACGCCCCGTGCGGACCACAGGGACGCGGGCGGCGGGCGCGCCTCTCCCCCGTCGTCTCGGATCCCCGATCGATCGCACACGTCCTTACGCGTCCTTACCGGGAGCCGGCGAGCCGCGCGGGCAGGCGGGCGGACGGGCGCGGGCCGGAGCGCTCAGCCGGCTCCCGGGAGGCAGCGGCTGTGCGCGGAGCCCCGCCCCGAGCTTATATGCCCGCGGAGGGAGGCCCCGCCCGCCCCCGGGCATTTGCATACCGGGCTGCCGCCTCCCGCGGTCCCGGGCCGGGGGCCGGGGCCGAGGGCCGCCCCGGGACAGTGGAAAGGGGGCGCTGCCCTTCCCGCGGGGGCCGGGACCCGGCGGGGTGCTGGGAGGTGGGACGGGGTCGCCAGACCCGCACAGCCGCGCGGAGCTGACAGGACGTGAGATGGCCGAGCGCAGCGGGAGGGAGAGGCGGGGCTCCGGGACGGGGACACCTGCCCTCGCTGCCGCCGCTCCCCCAGCCGGGGACAGGGCTCCAGGGTCTCGGGGAAGATCGCCGAGCGGCCCGACTGACCTGCGGAGAGCGAGCGCCAGCGCCCGGTTGGCACACACCTGGGCACAGCCGCAGGTCCCCGGGGCGTGGGCGCGCCGTCCCTGCTGCCCCGGCAACTCCCCCTGCCCCAGGCGCCCCCCTGGCGGGGAGGGACTTGCTGCCCGGCCCGGCCCGGGGGCGCCGGGCGCGCCGCTCACAAACCCCGGCCCCTACCGCGCACCTTACAAAGCAAATCAAGAAAACTGAGAATTCCTTTTCCCTGGAGAGGAGGAGGGAACCGAGTGCCTCGGTGGGCTCAGTGGGAGGGACTTTTTTTGTTTGTTTGTTTGTTTTTTAATCTCAGAATTATTCTTTGGGAGAAGGTATGGCTGCTGCCTTCCGAACGGGCGCCCCCTGACTAAACGACTGTCAACTCCTGGTGGTGGGTGCGTTCAGATCTTTGTAAAGAGGCGAAGGCGTGACTCCACAAGCTGGGAGGGAAGGCGGCTTTGGGGCACAGCATGTGCAGCATGTGCGCTGCGATCCGGTTGTGGGTTTGGGATTGGCCCTTTGGAGCTCCCAGCACCTGCGCCCCGCATCGCCCTAATTGGGACACTCGTGCGCATTAGTCAGGCCTTGCGACATCTTCCCGAGGGAGGACAACTGAAACCGGGATGGGGAAACCCGGTGTGTGCAGCGCGATGAGGTGGCAATTCCAGGGAAGGAGTGTCCTGGTGGCTCTGGACAATGGGTCTCCAATTGTGCAACGTACCCTGCGCTGCCATGCTTCCCAGCCAGGGCAGACAGGGCCCCGGAGCTGGAGCAGGCTCCACGGACCCACACGCGTAGGGATACGTGGACTGCCGGGCATCCCACAGCTGGTTCGGCACAGCCGTGGGTGGAACTCGGGCCTCTGACCCAGCTTGTCTCGGTCCAGCTGTTCCCACAAGCCTGCAGGGCTGGGCCAGGACTCTCCTGGGGAGCCCATGGTTTGCAGCCTTCACTCTCAGGACCTGGGCGCAGCCCCTCGGAGACTGGGTGGTCCTTTTGGGAGTCCCCAGCTTGCATGGGCACCATTCTTTCTATAAATACAGTTTCTTTCTAACTAGCTTGTTTCATGAAAAAAGAGTCAGATACAACACAAGGCCCGGGCATCTGATTAAGAAAACGATAAGGCCCTACCATGACCCTCGTCTTCCTGAATACCTCTCCATTCATAAATCTGCCTACCAGCGGTTCTCAACCTGTGGGTCGCGACCCCTTTGGCGGTCGAACGACCCTTTCACAGGGGTCGCCTAAGACCATCCTGCATATCAGATATTTACATGACGATTCATCACAGTAGCAACATGACAGTTATGAAGTAGCAACGGAAATAATTTTATGGTTGGGTCACAACATGAGGAACTGTATTTAAAGGGCCAGAAGGTTGAGAACCACTGGTAGTCTTTCGCATCTTAAACTTCTTGTTAAATATTGGGTTACGTCAGAGTTGGTGACACTACTGCTGTAGGGGTGGCTTGACATTTCTCAAATGACTTGTTTTATTTTCTGCTTATAAAGGTAATTCTGTGCTTCTTGTAGAGATTTTGGGAAACACCAAAAAGTAGGAAGAAGGAGGTAAAAATACCACCTGTGTTTCCGTGATCTGAAAATAACCACCATTAACATTCAAAGTATCCTTATTACTTTTTAAAAAATTCTTTATGGTTTAAAGTTTTACATATGTCTTCTTTTTCCCCCATCGACCACTCCCCAGCCCCTCTCACCCCCCAGCACATGCCCTGACCCCCTTTGTCCGTGTCCATAGGTTATGCTTATATACATGCATACAAGTCCTTTGGTTGATCTTTTACCCCCTCCCCCCACCCTCCCTTCTGAGGTTGGATGGTCTGTTCAATGCTTCTCTGGATCTATTTTTGTTCATCAGTTTATGTTGTTCATTATATTCCACAAATGAGTGAGATCATGTGATATTTATCTTTCTCCAACTGGCTTATTTCTATCCTTATTACTTTTTCATGCATATTCATATAAACAGATATAAACGTTCTGGCATGAATGAGATTACAGAAATATTACACATAAAGCCTGGCGTCCTACTGTCAATCGCTTTTTTAAATTGATCAGATCTCTCTTATCAGTGAATGTAACCTTTGTCACCAGCAGTTTAGCAGAGCTCAGGACTTGAGTCAGAGACATCGGTTCCAAAGGCAAATAAAGAGATCTTGTTAGACAACTTACATCTTGAAGTAGAGAGAGAGGGAGAGTTAAAAAACACACTAACTTGCCCAAGGGTATTTTGATTTGCAATGTTCAAAGGCAACCAGGCAGATCCTGGTCCGTTTTGAGGCAACTTGTGTGATCCCCTCAAGTTTCCCTATAAAGTGAGATCAGTCTTTAATGCAGAGAAATCGGCCACAAGTTGTGGGGCCTGACCCCTTGTCTATTAGGACAACATCACCTATCGTTCCCAGCATCGAAGGAAAGCCATTCCCTTCGGCGTATCAGCCTGAACCAGCATGTAACGACCCATTTTCACCCCCCCTCCCCCCACTCCCAAAGCCTCTAGAACTGCAGCTACGGGCCTGCACGTTTATGGGCCCTGACCACTGATCCCAGACACCCCTGGTTATGAAAAGTGCTGCAGCTCCACAGCCCGAAAGGACCAGGTCATGAAGAAGGCTCTCTTCTGAAATAGAAAGGCCGGGCAGGAAATGCCACCAGCCTTGGCTCATCTCTGCTTATAATGAACCTGGCTTTGGCCACGCAGGCCTGAAATGTCTCCGCAGTTGGCAATGGTTACGCTTTGAGCCAGCTGACGGCTGTGCAAGATCGAACAGTCCTGTCTGGTTTGGGAACCAGAAGAACGAGGCCGGCCCAGCTGGTCTGCCCTTCCGTGGCCTCGCCCAGATGGCTCCCCTGGACCTCGATAGCTATTGCTTCATGGAGGCAGCACGGAGGATGCTCTGTCCAAAGAAGCACAGACACGCAATGCCCCTTCCATGGGCTCAGGTGAGTTCTAGGCTCCGCTGGGAAGAACCCAGGGCGGGGTTTCTAGAGGCACCGCTCCCTAGAGGAGAAACATGTCAGTGGAATCGTCCCTTGCGAGGCAGTATGGTGATGAAGGAAAAGATCAGGCTTTGAAATGAGGCCATCGGTGATCTGCGTAACCTTGCCCATCCCCCCAAAGAGGGCCCACCTTCCACTGGTTCTGAGGCTGGTAAAGAATAGCATGGGAGGCCTTGGCTGGTTTGGCTCAGTGGATAGAGTGTCGGCCTGCGGACTGAAGGGTCTCAGGTTCCATCCCGGTCAAGGGCACATGCCCAGGTTGTGGGCTCGATCCCCAGTAGGGGGCGTGCAGGAGGCAGCCGATCCATGATTCTCTCTCATCCTGGATGTTTCTACCTCTCTCCCTCTCCCTTCCTCTCTGAAATCAATACAACAAACAAACACAACAACATGTCTTCGATGTCATTACCCTGGTAGGAAGCAGAGTGGAGCGAGTGCTTCTGGGAAGAGTCTGGGGTACAGCAAAGAGCCCCGCAGGGTCTCGAGTTCTGACTTTGGAGCTGAGAGGAGCTGAGCTCAAGTCCTATTTCTATTGTTTCGTAGCTGTGCCCTGTCTCTCTGTTCTCCAGGCTCCTCACCTGTGAAATGGTGGCCTCCAGGGCTAGTGAGAGGGTCCTCATGGACATGGAATGAGAAAATGACACGGAATGTGCAGGAACGCCTGGTTGGAAGGTGCTGGTCTTTTTACTCTGATCTCAGGCTTCAGGAAGGCCAGGACCACACCGCTTCGTTCACTGTCAAGTTCTCAGTGCCGAGAAGATGCTCAGTGAATATTTTTGGGGTCACCTACAGCAGGGAGCGCAGCGCTGGAGATGGCCTGGAGAATCTGGGTGAGATTTTATTTACTTTTCTTCAATCTATTCTGCTTCAGAAGTTTTAAACGGGTTGAAAAGGTCACAAAAACATAACATGGTGTTCATAAGTGTTGGGTATGTATGTAAAAATATGAATGGTATCCATAATCATTCATTTATGTTTATAAGACTGGAAAAAAGGACTAATAACTGGAGACAACATATATGCCAGCAAAAGGGGGTTGGGCAAATTAACGCTGGCGCAGTCATGCTGTCATTAAAAGTGTCTCCGAGAACATGAAACGGCATAAGAAATGATCATAACATTTTAAGTGGAAATCCAAAATTAAGATTCCAATTTGGTAAAAAAATCATCTATAATCCATAATATAGATCTTAGAACAGTGGTTCTCAACCTTCCTAACGCCGCGACCCTTTAACGCAGTTCCTCATGTTGTGGTGACCCACAATTTCATTGTTACAAAGTGAACATAATGAAAGCGTAGCGCTTAATCACAAAACAATATGTAATTATATACGTGTTTTCCGATGGTCTTGGGTGACCCCTGTGAAAGGTCATTCGACTCCCAAAGGGGTCGCGACCCACAGGTTGAGAACCTCTGTCTCAGAAGGACTATATCACGATGTTAAAATAGGTTGTTGCTGAACGCCCGTGAGCAGCCCACTTTTCACAGTAGGACGAGTTAACAAGCCTGGTGTGTCCTCGGCTGAGCACATGGATAATGGAAGCCGATTTACCACACGAGGGGAGGGAGTTACAAGTGCAGAAAGAGAGAAAACTAGAGCCCGGCCGGCGGGGCTCAGGGGTTGAGCGTCGCTATGAACCAGGAGGTCATGGTTCGATTCCCAGTCAGGGCACAGGCCTGGGTTGTGGGCTCCATCCCCAGTGTGGGGCATGCAGGCGGCAGCTGATCCATGATTCTTATCATCGTTGATGTTTCTCTCTCTCTCTCCCTCTCCCTTCCTCTCTGAAATTAATAAAAAGATATTTAACAAGAAAAAAGAGGAGAAAACTAGAATGAACCCTGGGTTGATGGATTGGAACTAGAGGTATCAGTAATGAACTAGATTTAAGGTGGATGGATGGATAGATAGATAGATAGATAGATAGATAGATAGATAGATAGATAGATAGTTGATTGATAGATAATTTCCTCGCTCTGTTGATTGAGGGACCCTGGGAGCAATGTGTTGCCAGCAGCACGGAGACACCTCAGTGGCCCACGCCTTGGTTTTGTTTCTGTCTTTCCCCTGAAGCGGGTGCGTCATTCCAGGAGGCACTGCAATACCGGGTCAATGCATGGAGGAAGCTGCTATCCATCCCCTAATTTCAGAAATCCATTTAACATGTTGTCCTTGGATAAAGGACGTACCACATACTAAACTGATCAGAACCGATACTACACTTGATCGTAGCCAAAAGGCCCAGAGGCAATGGCACCTTACCTTCTAAACACCATTGTCCACTCAAAGGACCCAGGCTCCCTGGGGAACTGGGTGGAGCCAGGGCTGGAATAGGGGCCAGTAAGAGGACAGGGTGTCTTCTACTCACTCTCAAACTGTTCAAAATAATAATAGGTCTTTGTGAATGTATAACCTCACCGTATATCTGCGAACACTCTTAGAACTTTTCTGTAATTTTGAAATTACCCCTCAAAAAGGAAGACCTCCCTTTGCAGGCTGGCAAAACATCTAGTGGAGAGTATAGTTGAATTGGCGAGTTGTATAGTATGTGAGTTAAGTCTCAATATAGCTGTTAAACAAAAAGAAAGCGACCACAAATCCCACCTAGGTTACTAAAAAGCTAACCTAAAACAGAGTCAGCTCAGCATGACCTGCCCTTCTTATTTTATTTTTTTTTATTGATTTCAGAGAGGAAGGAAGAGGGAGAGAGAGAAACATCAATGATGAGAGTCATTGATCAGCCGCCTCCTGTACTACTGGGGATCGAGCCTGCAACCTGGGCATGTGCCCTGACCAGGAATCGAACTTGGGACCTCTTGGTCCATGGGGTGATGTTCACTCCCCTGAGCCACCACAGCCAGGCAAGGCATGACCTGCCTTTGGAAACCTTTCTAGATCCTCGTTTGAATTCCCACATGACCTGGTGTCCCCCATCCCCCCACCAGTTTGCAGTGCACGAGGCTGTAATCCTGGGCTAGTCCTCTGTCCCCACCGTGGACGGTGCATCGCTTAGAGGGCAGGGGCCACACTGCACCCTCTGTGAACCTCTACCCGGCACAGTGCCTGGCAGGTGGCCGGCCCATGTTTGTTTAATAAGGGGATTCCCAACTTGTTAAATACTATGATATTGAACACATATAGCAACCAGACATTTAATTATTTGATAAATATACATTGTTCATTGCCATCAATAGTACATCCTTGGCGCATACACAGCTGATAAACGTTGCTGAAATTCAGATTCTGAGAACCACACTGTGCTGACTGAAGTCAGAGGTCACGCACGTCAGGTTCTCCATGTTGATCTCAACACCGTGCAGCCAGCATTTTGTTGACCTCTATGTTGATCTCAACACCATGCAGCCAGCATTTTGTTGACCTCTATGTTGATCTCAACACCATGCAGCCAGCATTTTGGGGGACCCACTGTGTGGATGGCTGGGGGCTGGGCCTTGCCGCCCCTCCTGGCCCTCAGCCTGAGGCCAGCTCTGCTGAGAGACCAGGGCGTCCGGATCTCCACTGGTGTGGGCTCAGCTGGGTCAGCCGCCGGCCAAGGGGAGGAAGTCTGCAGGCAGAGGCAGGAGCGCACAGCTGACAATGGTGGGGACGTGGCCAGTCCCGTCCTCCTCCTCCTCTCACTCCACCAGGTGCCTGCTGCCAGCTCAGGGGACAGTCACACCCTTTGCCAGCTCCGCGGGCGGACAGTGTGGGTGGCCCCTGCCCAGCCTCTCCTTCCAGAGGCTTGAAGGCTCCCTTTCAGAGCCGCGGGGGCACCTGTGCTCGGCCTGCCGCTCTGTACGCACCCGGCCCCTCCCCGTGGACCCACGTGGCAGGAGTGACACCTGACAGGTGAACGGGGATGGAGTGGGCCAGGGCATCTTTTTAGCACGGCATCAGTTTTCCACCGGAAACACGAGCGCCAAGCTCACAGGGGATTTGCTTAAGAAGATCCTCAAGGAGCAGTGGGTCTGCACTCACAAAGCCACGGGGAGCAGCACGAGTCCCCCGCAAGCTGCGCGATGGGGCCTGTAGCGGGAGCAGCTCGGACAGTGACATGCAGGGCAGCGACATGGAGGGCGGCTGGCAGGGCGTGAGCGGGACCCAGGAAGGAGCTCAGCGTGCCCGCAGGTCCGGGGCATGACCTGAGCGGGAGTTCCTGAGTGTGGAGAGCCATCCCACCTGTGCGCTTCCAGCTCATCCTGCTCCCCCCCCCCGCTGCTCACTCTCATTCTCCCCAGAGGCCTCTGCGTTCTCGCCCTCATCCCAAACCCCCGGGGCCCCCGGACTCCCCCAGGATCCCCGCAGAAACAGCTGGTGCCAGACCCGATGCCCGTGTCCGCGGAGAAGCCTGGCCCCGAGGCTCCTGCCACCAGCTGACCCGCTGCCGCTGCCCCTCCTGGGACCGGATGGAGAAAGCGAAGGCGTGTGTCCTTGGTGACAGGGCCTCGGAGATGACAAGACCATCAGGAAAGACCGTGTCTGCCGGGTTCACCTCCAGGCAAGCTCACCAACAGTCAGTACTTCATGAAGAAATGAATGAACGAATGAGTGACAGGCCTCATCCGGTCACAGCCCTTCCTCCGTGCAGCCCGGGCAGTGCTCCCCTCCTCCAGGAGGGTGTCCCCGGACGACACCCACCCGCCTCTGAGCACCTGGCTCTCCTCCGCGCCAGGGGCCGCCCCTTCCCCGTCCCGTCAGCTGCCCACTCCTGTGGCCACACCCTGGCCTGTCATCACCTGAAACTGCTCCACCTGTGAAGGCTTAACTACCACGAGCCCACTCTCTTTCCACAGCCGCTGTCCCCCCCACTCATGCCGAACTCCCACTGCACACACGCACACACACATATACACACACACGCACACACACGCACACACACGCACACATAAGCACGCACACACACGCCTCTGCTTTCTCCTGTTGTTGCCTCCTCCTGATCCGGCCTCTTTTCCTGCCAGACCGGACCGTCTGACTTCCCGCTCAGTGGCACCTGGGTCCCTGGTGCCCTACTCTTTCCACAACCACCCACCCCCACCCCCCACCCCCCGCTGCCTGTTTCAGCAGAACCCTCACCTAGATCGGCTCCCTGTCTTCACCTACGTCCTGGCCGCTACGCTGTCCCAGAAAGGGCCCACACGACCTCTTGCGCCGGAGGTCTGTTTGCTGTGCTCACTCATCGTTCACACGCTCCACACGTGTGCCCCGAGCCGGGCCTGCTCACGGTGCTGGGGGTGAGTGGTCAGCAGGACAGGCCAGGCCCGCTCTCGGGGCCCATCCTGCTGGGGAGACAGCAGAGAAGCAGCGTCCGGGCAATGCCGCGGCCCAGCACCCCAGCTCTGCTGGTGTCCCTTCCGTGGGCTTGCAGTCTCCATTCTGCAGATGACTCTGCCTCCTACGGAAAGAAAAGTGACACCTCCTGTCCCTTCTAGTTCCACCACCTGTGACTCATCGCCCCACACACCCCCGTCCGTCCCCACTGCCGCCTTTCTCTTCTGGCCTCAGAGGACGGACAGGCTCCCCTTCTTTGAGGTCAGCACCGCCTCCTCTGCTCACCCCCAATCCTCGCATCTCCCCCCTTCACTCTCCTTTATCGTCTCACTGTCAGTCTCCCCATTTCTCCTCTCAGCTTGCAAACAAGCTCAGTCGTCTTCTACCTTAAAATCCTCCCCTTCGGGCTCCGAGTCCCCCTACCCACCGCCCCATCTCACTCCTTCCCAAACGGGAGGCCTCTGGCACCGTCTGAGTCCTGACTGCCCACACACCTGGGTTCGCCTGACAACGGAGGACCCACTGTGTGCTCATTGTTGGGAGAACAACGTGGGACACGACAGGCAAGGCCACCTACCTCGGGAAGCTCACAGTCCGGGTGGAAACAGGTCATAGGCAGTTGTGGGAGTTCAGAACCAGCCACCCCGAGATGTGCCTCTGCGGTGTGTGGATTTTTTGAGCTAAAGCCAACCGAGGCCCGGGGGCTCCAGAGAAACTCCTGCTCCACTTCCTTTAATTTTATAGAGGCATTTGAATTAGGGACCTTGCCCGTAATAACAGATGGCCAGGTCACCCTTTCCTTCTATTTAAAGGGAGAGCAAACTGCCACTTACTGAATGCCTGCTCTTCCTAGCGTCCTGCGCTGTCCCTTTGTCGTCCCTTGGTACGCACAAAATTAAATTTGATTTTCTCTTGTCAATCTTGTTGATCTGATTCTTCAGCCGGCCAAACGGACCGGAGGATGACAGGGGAACCTTTCCCTTTCCCAGCACAAGAAGCAGGTACATACAAGCGAGAAATTTACTTTGTTTTTTCACAGTTCTAGGAGGAAAGGGGCAAGGGGACTGAGCGTGACCAGGAAAACCCACTTTCAATAGGGTTGTCCCTGAAGACACGACCCAGACGCCCGAGCCACGGAGGGTCGAGGGAGCAGGAAGTGCGACGCCCGGTGGCAGGAAACGGCTGGCTCGGTCGGGGAGGTGTGTGCAGGTGGGGCTTTCCCTTCTCAGTTTGCAGAGATCTGCTTCATTCATTTTTTAAAAATATATTTTTTATTGATTTCAGAGAGGAAGGAGGGGAGAGAGACACCAATGATAAGAGAAAGTCATGGATCAGCTGCCTCCTGCATGACCCCTACTGGGAATCGAGCCCGCAACCCGGGCATGTGCCTGACCGGGAATCGGCAGTGACCCCCTGGTTCTTAAGTCCATGCTCACCCTGAGCCAGCCGCGCCGGCCGGGCCGCTGCACGCGTCTCACTGCACCGCGCTCCTCGCCGGCTCACCGCAGTGCGTTCGGTGGATGCTGTGGTGAACATGCTCGCCTAGGTCTTTGGTTAAACACACGGGCACATTGCTGTTGACTCTGCATCTAGGAATGAAATTGCTGGGCCTTCGGGTTCTGTCCACTCAGCTCCTATGGAGGATTCAAATGGTTTCCCCGAGGGATCGCACTCCTTCCCACGCCCGCCTGCAGTGCGTGGCCGTGCCTGCCGCTGCGCGTCCTCACGGACCCTGGTGCTGCTGGGGTGTTAGCCCTCAGATGTGTGTGTGATAACAGCACGTGTGGCTTTCCTTTGCATTTCCCTGGTGACTGGTTATGTCGAGTACACTTCCACGTGTTTATTGGTCACTAACGTACTAACACATCTTTATTGGATTGCTTGTTTTATTCGTGACTGAGTGGCAAGACTTCTTTCTATTTCCTGGCTACCAGACCTTTGCCAGGTATGTTTTGTGAATATGTTTTGTAAATATTTCCCCCCACTCTGCATTTTTTTTAAAATATATTTTATGGATTTTTTACAGAGAGGAAGGGAGAGAGACAGAGAGTTAGAAACACCAATGAGAGAGAAACATCAATCAGCTGCCTCCTGCACATCTCCTACTGGAGATGTGCCCGAAACCCAGGTACATGCCCCCGACCGGAATCGAACCCGGGACCCTTCAGTCCGCAGGCCGACGCTCCATCCACTGAGCCAAACCGGTTTCGGCATCATTCTGTATTTTGTCTCTTCATTTTCTTTTCTTTTTAAAAAATATATTTTATTGATATTTTACAGAAAGGAAGGATGAGGAATAGAGAGTTAGAAACATCGATGAGAGAGAAACATCGATCAGCTGCCTCCTGCACACCCCCCAATGGCGATGTATCTGCAACCAAGGTACATGCCCTTGACCGGAATTGAACCTGGGTCCCTTCAGTCTGCAGTCAAACCAGTTAGGGCGTCTCTTCATTTTCTTAACTGTGTTTTTTGATGATCAGAAGTTTCTAATTTTGATAAAACTACTAATTGTTGCTTTTTTTTAAAAAAAAAATTATGGCTTTTTTGTGGTATGTGGATTATTTGAGCTAAAGGCACAAGTCCCCATCCCCCAGGTCACAGGCTATTCTGTTTCTTTTTTGTTTGTTTCTGAAAACAAGTTTTATTTAAATAAGGGTTTATATACATAACATTAAAACTGAAGGAGGGGAAAAAAACACCCCAAAAACCTTTTTTTTTTTCACTTCACATGGCATTGGGCAGCTGTTGCTAGTGAGTTGCAAGCTCTGCAGCTAGCTACATGGCTGACACTTCAGCTTGAAATTTGTTCCCTTCTCAAAAGTTTAACTGGGATAGAAGGTGGGCCTCCAATTATGGTGTTTGGACAATTAGCTAGGATCTGTCTGGTCAAAAAGGCCCTGGTGGCAGCCAGAAGTCCTTACACCTCCTGGAGGGAAGGTGGCGGCTGCTCTGGGCTCCAGCACCTGGTCAGGTGTAGGTCTGTGACTGCGGAGGTTCCCTCTAGTGGTACAGGTGCCGCTGCCACCTTACCCCTCCTTACCCCTCTCCTCTCAGCATCACCGAAGGCTGCTCAGGCGCGGACGTTCTCTGAGGGCAGGGAGCTCTGGCGAGGAGCTTGGCCTGACGTGGGCTTGGCTGAAACATCACGGTATTGCTCCGTTTCAGGCTGGCACTGCCAGGTGCTGCGGCGTGACCTCTGTTTGAATGAGGGACCGCAGGACTGGACAGCATGGCTCTTTTCAGTTTATTGCATGAAGGAGTTACACGAGTCCAAGTGAAAAGCAGACCCCAAACGGTTACATTATACAAGCTGTGAGGTTTTTAAACTTGTGACAAGGGACAGAAGGGAAATTCTACTCATTGCAAAGAAATCCTCACTAAAGCTTCAGTGAGCCAAAAGCGCTTAAAACCCACGACCCTTCAGCTGGTCGTCTTTAGCCAGTCCACGCTCCAGGGGGAACTGGCATATGTTCTTGCGCTGGCCACCCTGCAGCTGAATTACTTCTCCATGTTCTGGATGCTCCATGACAGTACCAGGGCAGGCCAGTTTCTTCTTAAAGGCCTTCACGAGTTCCTTTCTATCGCAATCACCAGCGATCCCTTGGGCAGCAGTAAGGGTCTTCCTGCCGTTTCTCTGTTGGATTCTTACATGGATATAACCCTCAGTGCCAGCGGGAAGCAGGTCATCACCCTTACTTGCACCAGCAAAGGGGCCAAAAGCGTGGAGGTTCTGGATAGCGGACATCCGATAGGATTCCTTTTCCTCGGTGGAAACGGCCTGCGGAAGGCTGCGGCGGGAGAAGGCGGGCAGGGGGGACGGGGCGTCGGGAAGCAAAGTGAGGGGGGCCCAAGGGGAAGGTCGCTGAGTCCTCGGCGGCGGCTCAGTCACTGGGGCCTGTTCTGTTTCTTTTAAAAAGCTTTATGGTTTAACATTGAGGCAGGGTTTATGATCATGGTTTGGGGATGGTGTGAAATAGGACAACGCTCCTTTTCCGCACACGTGTGTCCTGCTTGTCCCCGCATCGCCGTTGGAAAGCACGTCCTTCGCTCACCGGGCTGCCTTGGTGCCTGTGTTGAACATCAGGCGACGGCATTAACTGGGTCTCTTTCTGGGCTTTTTAATCTCTTCCCTGATCTGTCTGTTGATTCTTCCTCCGGGATCACACTGTGTCGGTCACTGTAGCTTTACGTATATGGTATGTCATGAAGTCAGCTAGCAGGAAGCCTTCTAACCCCCCACCATCCCCGCAAGTGTTTTGAAAAAAAGCACAAACAACAAACATTTTGCGTTTTTACACATTCTAGAGCAGTGATGGCGAACCTTTCGAGCTCGGCATGTCAGCATTTTGAAAAACCCTAACTTAACTCTGGTGCCGTGTCACATATAGAAATTTTTTGATCTTTGCAACCATAGTAAAACAAAGACTTATATCTTTGATATTTGTTTTATATATTTAAATGCCATTTAACAAAGAAAAATCAACCAAAAAAATGAGTTCCCGTGTCACCTCTGACACGCGTGTCATAGGTTCGCCATCACTGTTCTAGAGTCAGCTTGCCAATGTCTGCCAAAAAATAACAATTAAAAAGCCTGCTGGGATTCTGATGGGGGTCGCATTATATCTATAGGTCAATGTGGTGAGAATGGACATCTTAACAATAAGTCTCATCCTGAGTAATTTTGTTGTCACCCCCATTCCTCCCCCACCCACGCTGCCTGCCTCTGGCCTGCCTCTGAGACTGGGAGGCAGCCTTGCCCTGCCCTCAGCCCCCACGGCAATCCTGAAGGACTGCTGACTTTCTCGCTAGATATCCGGGCCCGGTCTCACTGTTACTGCCTGCACCGTGCTGGCGCAGGCCTCCCTCCTGACCCTCCTGGGTCACTGCAATCACCGCTTCCCCAGCCGGACCCGTAACTCTAGCTGCACGCGCGCCTCGGAGAGACAGCTCGTGCACCCCTGCGCCTGCCACCACCCCACCTGGCGCCCATGAGCTCCAGGGTGAAGTCCACGCGCCTTAACTTGAACTGCACATGGTCAGGATCTGGCCCTTCCGACCTTTCAGCTCATTTCCTGCCAGTCCCTGTGCCTTCCTCGTCCTCAAAGCCTCGCCAGCCCCTGCTCGGTGTGCCCATCATGGCCTG